CTAATACTAGTATGGTATCATTGAATTACAATTTAGTTTGATAGCATCCACATAATATATTTTTATCAGTGTAAATACCACTTAAAAATTTATATAAACATTTTTTGGTACTGTTAGTTTAGTAGGATTAGCTTTTACTGTGTTAAAAGAAACCTGCTATTTACAACTTGCTTAATATATTTTTACATGTTAGTAAGTAAGTAATGTGTTTGTATGGATCTGAAGCCATCTATTCTGTATTATTGTTATATATTCCAAGTCTATTTCTAAAACATACTCTTCTTATATACAGGCGTAAACCAGCTATTTGGATGAGAGAATTAAAAAGTGAATAGGAAGATTTGATTGGCTAATCCAATGAATAACTAATATACATACTACTCATGTCCCATAGAAAGTAAAGGCATAATTTCAAACGATAGTGCAAATTTATTTACTCAGCAATTAAGCTGAATCTTGATCGATGATCTGTATTAATAAGTATCTCTCACGTCTCATTTGGCGTATTGTTTGGCTGGCTTAATATAAAACCACCTTTCTTTCTCTAAAATGACTGTCAGGCGTTTCAGATCCAATTACAGTAATTTCGATGAGTGATATAATATCATATCATACCTGTTTTACTTTGTAAGTCTAAGGTCACGTGCCTTCAAGTTTCTATACATAAATTTAACCTTCAAGTCAATCTTCTACTCACATTTCATGCCTTTGGCTGTTTCATTTTTTTGGGGCCAGTTGAAGTGGTAGACGTAGTGTGGCGTTGTATTATTATTCGTTTTCATTCCTTTGTGAGTTTGTTAATTAAGAACACCCATCCGGATTGCTTATACTCATTCAAAAAGAAATTAGAAAAATCGCATTACATTTAATGATGTGTGATTTTTTTCTCATCATAGAATTATAGGGACCGAAGGTTCTGGGTTCGAATCCTGTGAGTAGCAGGAGTCGTGGATTCCGCACCACTGATGAGTTGTTCCATACTAAGACTGAACAACGGCCCATCATCAGATGCTTACAGGTTTCCAATGGTGGCCTAAGAATGGCTGACTCATGATTTCAGTGAAAATTTTTTAAAAATTTTATTATTCATACAGAAGTAATGAGAGTATTCTGTTTTGTTTTGTTTTTTTTTGAAATTGAAAATCTGTTTTTATTTTATCAAAAATTCACTTTGTCATTTGTTTATTTATTTATATTTATGCTCAATAGTTTTGTTTTTTCGTATTCAGGTTCAATTGAATAATTGTTTTGTTTAATCAACTAGAAAGTGTGATTGATTTATTGCACAAAAAATAAAGTTTAATAATAATAATAATAATAATGATAATAGCTGTTGTTATCTATCTGTCTTTTAGTTAAGAATGATGAATTAGGAGTACAAATGAGCTAGCTAACTTGACTACAGACACACACACACATAGACTCATATGTATGAGGATTGTTGAAAACCAATGAAATACGTTAACAGATTGTTGTTTCCATAATCCATAACTGGTCATGATGTGAATTTTTTTCTGTTATTGCACAAGTACGGACAATCAAACTAAACACATGGTATCGTTCTATGAAGTTCATGAACAGTGTGTGTTCTAAGCCCATACATGGTTGGTTGGTATAGACTATTCGGTTTAAGGTTTATATGATTGATGAACAACTCCTTGAGCAATAATGCTAAATTGACTTTCAGAAATGTTAACTGAGGTCAGACCACTATTAGAAACCTGAAAAACACTAGCTGACGGCCGTTTCGTCCTAGTAAAGGACTCTACAGCAGTTTCAAATGAAAAACAACAGTCTCCATGTCCATCTCATGAATAGCATAGAATATACTCATTAGTGGTTAGCTGCGTGAGGAAATTCTCGAAGTTCTTTAGTGAGAAGCTGTGATCAATAGAGTTCAACCCTGTCGGATGTGGTTGCGCAAAACCTTAAAAGGTTGCATTAGAGGGTTTTGGATGGTCGTATATGAAAACTGCTGAAGAACTCCATACTAGGATAAAATAGCCGTCGTCCAGTGCTTCCAGGTTTCTTTCTTATAGTGGTCTAACAATGATCAGTTCATGATTCTAAATGGAAAATAACAATCTCCATATCTATCTAGTGAATTATTAAAGTTTAGGCTTAATTATTATGAGCAAATAAGATTCACTGTTAGTAGTTGTTAAACTTTTCATCCTCACCTAAGACATCAGTTATAATTTTTAAAAATATAATTTTTCTTTGTGGCGAATAATAAATTCTTTGATTGGTTCATCACTGATACTGAGTTTTTAAAATCACGTTTTTTTGTGCAGGAATTCAACCTTTTCTCTCTTTAACGATATTATTTATCCTTGATTCCTTTCTTATTACCAGTAATACTATAGTACGATTTCTGTGCTAGCCTTGAGTTGGTCTTGATAAAATAACCTCGTTTTGTTCAAATCTGATGTAGCAACTTAAACCAATAATAATAATAATAATAATAATAATAATAATAATAATAATAATAATAATAATGGCTTTATGTTAGGTACAGTATGAAATTCTTAGCACGGAATATTTCAACAAATTTTCTTTTCAATACTTTCTGTTAGTCACTACGATATCTTCAAATGTACATTTTCCTACACCGTATAAATACAGGATATGGGTTGCCCAGACATATCAAGCACATTTATGCTAGGTTATACATGCTGTAGTGAACAAGAACACAGGTGAGGGCAACCGAATTGTATTTAACGAAAATTACAGAGTTACTCAGTAAAATCGGAAAACCATATCGTAAATCGTTCATTTGCAAAATATCAGTTCATCATATCGAACTGGACTGACTGTTCCTGTTGCAAAACATCAATCCATTGTCATTATTCATGCGTTTCATGAAAAATTCCATTGTTTTCTAACTCTTCCTTTCTTGATCTTCCCCCCATCTTCGGCTGCCAGACATTACGTTGACGCTCACGTCATATACTACTTATAAGTAGCTCACACGACAATGCTACCGAATGACTAACTGAGTGATTTTTAAACTGAATTACTTTTCTTCGTTATCAAATTAACACCAATAACATTATTCATCCTAATTGTGGTGTAGTGGAATTATTTACTTTCGTTAACTGAATCATATAATACATATTGGTTTTGTTTCGATTTTTCAATTATCATATTGTGATTATTTTCGAAGTGACATCAAATTGTTGCATATTCATGTATGTTCACAGTCAGTCAGTCAGTTAGATGCAACGTAGAACTTTGTACATAAGTACATCAGTTCATGTTGCCATACCACATCAGCACAGAGAAGTAATCGTCAATTCAAATCCAATAGTAGAAGAGGTAGTAAAGGTATTAGAAGTAATCGGAGAGGTTAGGATTAGAAGATACTATTCAAGAAGTATGATTCAGTGAGAAAAGTTTAGAGTCGAAACTAGAGGTGTTGAAGAATCCAGAAGATTAGGATTTGAGAGAACACAAAGAATAAATGCACCGGCGCCATTGCGAACGATTTTGAGCCATGTCATTCAAGGTATCTAACCATCGATTATTATCATCTCGCGGACCCCAACCAGGTAGTCGACAATTACCGACATGGCTCATTTCACTTGTCAGTGATTTCATGGATTTGTGCCATGTTTTGGTTTGGCCGCCCCTAACTTTCTTCCAACCTACTCCTACACTACAAAACAAAGCTCGTCGATGCAGTCGGTGGTTGGGCATACGCAACACATGTCCCAACCACCTCAACTGATGAAGTGTCACCACTTCATCTATTGATCTGCCATCCTTTCCTAGTACTCGTTTCCTAACGACAGCATTGCTTACTCGGTTGTCCCACGGTATATGAGCAATGCTTCGAAGACACCTATGATCGAAAACCAGTAACCTACGAATATCTTCTACTCTCACTGGCCATGTTTCACAGCCATAAAGTAAGACGGAGCGAACCACTGCGCAGTACACTCTTCCTTTGATTAGAGAACGGATACCACGCCTACGCCATAAGTGACGTAGGTCGGCAAAACCCAATCGAGCCTTCTGTATCCGTGCTGAGCGCTCGTCAGTCACCAGGTCATCGGCACTGATGAGACTCCCAAGATAAGTGAAGCGGTCTACACGTTCGACTACTTCACTCCCTATCACTAGTTCAGGTGCCGATGAAACCCAATCTTGAAGCAACATTTTGCATTTCGAGGGGGAAAACCGCATCCCGAACATGCTCGCATTGTTGCTTAGGGTAGACAGAAGACTCTGCATTTTGTCAGCGTCTTCACCAAGTAGGACAATGTCATCGGCATATTCTAAGTCAATAAGCGAGCCACCCGGTAAAAGGTCTACTCCTGAAAATTCAGACGAGGATAAGGTTATTTCTAGGAGCATCTCTATCATAAAATTAAACAAGAATGGAGAAAGTGGACATCCCTGACGGACACCACTTGATGTAGAGAATTCCGGTGACAGTTCGCCATAAGCTCTCACTCGACCAGTGGTGTTCGAGTAGAGAGCTTGTATGAGGTTAATGTACTTCTCTGGTACACCTTTCAATGACAGACCCTGCCACAGAACCTCACGATCCACAGAGTCAAATGCCGCCTTAAGGTCCAGGAAAACAACTATTGTAGGACGCCTAAATGTGTGTCTGTGTTCCAAGACCTGTCGTAGTGTGAAAATGTGGTCTATACAGCCACGTCCAGGTCGAAAACCAGCCTGGTTTTCTCGAGTCTGCTCTTCACGAGCTTTCGTTAAGCGTCGAAGTATTATTGAGGTCAATATTTTAGATACTATATTAGTTAGACTTATTACTCTGACTGTCACAACAAGACTTTTGTCCTTTCTTGTAAACTGGGACAATTAGCGACTGAGACCAGTCTGATGGGATTACGCCCAGTTCCCAAATTCTACCTAAGATCTCAGTCAACCTAGCTGCTGTTCACACACACGGCCCAACTTATTCTACTTATCCTATATCGTATCATTTGACATTTTCTTCTTGTTTTTTTTATCTATATTTTTCTTCTCAGAGCCTGGTCACCAGATTTAATTGATAAACATCATTGTGCATGTTTTCCATCACCGAATCAAACAGATTTTCAAACATTATCTACAATGTATGAAACACATCCACTGACACATGTTCCATTAGTTGGATTCAATTCGACTTTTGAAGCAGAATCTGTAGAAGATTTTGTTGGAGTAAGTTTGCATAAGGGAGGGGGGTGGATTTTTTTTTAATATTATATTTATTATTTACAATGTGGTACTGTTTTTGAATGTATATTGCTCTGTGTGTGAGTGTGTATGTGTGTGTTAGTGGGTGAGTCGTTCCTCTTTTATCATCTACATTAAAAAATCGGTAACTTAGTATTTTAAAGGTTATCGACTTCTATCCAAAAAGTTGCAGGTTTGAAACCCGTTCCAACTACTTTGGTTTTGGTAATCGGATAGTACCATTCCACCCCTCACACCTAGTACCCAAGTACATGAATCTGTACCTGGTAAATTAGATAAATATACTATATTTTACAATTTACAATGTTGTACTTCTTATGAATGAATGCATATTTCTAAGAAATAAAGGTTCGTGTTATTCATGTAATCAGTTGTTTGTTAACTTTGAGCATTTAAAGATCAGCATCACGCAATCAAATTCTGATGAATTGTATGAAGACGTTTTCCTAACAGTTTTTTAGTTAAACGAAGGTCCACCAGATGATAGTAACTGATGGTTAGAGACCCTAAATAACATGGCTCAAGATCGTCGGCAATGGCGCAGGTGTATCCACTCTTTGTCTACTCCCGAATTCTAATCTCAATTTCTCAGAACCGTCATCTTTCCTTTCTTAAATTTATTTCACTAGATTATATATACTCCTTGAATGACATCTTCAAACCCTAATCTGTTCGTTTACTGTTCATACTTCTACTACATCTACCACTATGGGAGTTAAATTGACAAATGTGTCTCTGTGCTAATGTGGTATGGCAACTTGAACTTTTGTACGTACCTGCAAAGTTCTACATTGTAGTTGACTGACTGATTAACTGACCATTTTTCAACGAATTTATTA